AGGGAGGGACCACAAGAGGGCTCCAGGGAATTTCTGGCCCATTTCACTCAGTCCTGATTGGCCAGACCCCAGCAGCAAGCTAACCTACTGGTTGGAGCATCTGCCCCCTGGTGGCCAGTGCACATCATAGTGACTGGTTGGTCTATTGTCTGCCCCTGATGGTCAGTGCATGTCATAGCAAGTGGTTGAGCAGCCTTAGCATATCATTAGCATATTATGCTTTGATTGGTTGAAAGGATGACCAGATGACTGGACACTTACCATATTAGGCTTTTATTATATAGGATTTTTATTGGTTTCAGAGAAAGGGAGAGGGGGAGAGATAGAACATCAATGATGAGAGAGAATCATTGATTGGTGCCTCCTGCATGCCCCATACTGAAGCCCACAACCCAGGCATGTGCCCTGACTGGGAATCGAACCTTGATCTCCTGGTTCATGGGTCCATGCTCAAACACTGAGCCACACTGATGGCGCCCTACTTGATGTTTTGTTCTGTTTGGCAGAACGATGATGTTCTCTCCTGTGGGGTGACTATGTAAAGTTGTGTTTTTCTACTTAATCAGATGTCTGGTTCCTTTGCTGTCTGCTCTGTTGTTAATATTTAACTGCCTACTGTAACAATCCCCCTGCTGGGGATCGAGCCTGCAACCCAGGCATCTGCCCTGACTGGGAATTGAGCCGTGACTTCCTGGTTTCATAGGTTGACGCTCAACCACTGAGCCATGCCAGCCGGGCAGAGTTTATATTATTTTTTTTTATCATGCCTAAAAATATTAATGTTCTATGACATTTTTTAAGAACTTTGTTTTTAATAGTCCAGTAATTATTTTTTGTTAATTACAAGATCCAAACAATAAAAACCTTTAGCTTGCCTAATATAAAGTAGACATTGGGTATCCAAGTGTCAGATTTTGAAGGAACTTTTTAATGGTAAAGAGTTTAGATAGAGGAAATGGAAAGCCATTAAACATTTTTAGAAAGGTAATTCTCATTACAGCGGAGCAAATACAGAATTGAAGGGTGGTAAAGAGGTCAACCAGGAGACCTATTAATGGCTGTTAAGGGTTTTAAATGAAGGCAAATAGCTTTATGAATGGGAAGCAAAGAATTTTGAAATA